TCAAAGTTTGAAAAAGCTCTGGCCAATCAAATAATTACACACTTTGAAACAAACTACTTATTTAATGATACACAGTTTGGCAAGAGTTGGCATCTCCTTCGAATTACCAGATAAAGTGTAGATTTCAAGATTAAATCTGTAAATTAACAAAAAATAAATTGTCTATCCCTCCTAGTCTTCTATACGAAGTATCTAGGCCACTGTTCGTGGTTATCAAGGCTTTTGAAAATACTGGAAAGCACTCTGAGGCTTTTCCTAACTTTTCCGGCGGTTTCCAGTGCTCAATAGTACTTTATTGATGTTCTAGAACTTTTCGGTTCCTTCATAGAGTTTTAAAGGCCACGCTAGAATGTTTAGATTCTATACAGAGCTTTCGACGTTCATTCCTGAACTTTCTAAGCACTTTGTAGGCTTTGCCAAGTCTTCCTGTGTTTTTTGAGAGCATTAGAATTTTTGGGACGTATACAGGGTGGTGACTTGCGTAACACATTGTAAAATTCATAACATGCGATTATTGGCTCCCCAAATTATTTTAGAACAAAAATGTATTAAGGTTTTTGTAGAAAAAATTTTTTTATGTCAATCAACCGTATTAGTTTTCAATTTTTTGCATAATAAAGACGGAAAATTGGAAAAACAAAACCTCCATCTTTATCAATAATCTGCCATGGAATTTTATAATGCAAGCCAATAATCGCATGTTATGAATTTTACATTGAAATCCCTATGATGCGTTACGCAAGTCCACCCTGTATATTTATATAATTCTGAAGAGTACCTACACACAATATTCTTGAGAGCTTACGCTGAAATGTACTTTCGATTTTCTGATGGATGGCCAATCTTTATAGGAGCATTCTAGGGCCTTTACAGAACTCGTTAGCCATGCCTAGCAACCGGGAAAGTCAAATAAAGTTTTGTGTAAGGAGCATTTAAGGGACGCTTTCTCGTGCTATTGGTGCTATTTAGGCCCTTACTAGAGCAGTCTAGCCGGTGTAGCGGCTTTTGAGGGCTTTCGGGGCATTTACCGTTATGGCACTTTCTACTTTCGTTCAATGCTTTTTATACGCATCTATTTATGGTGTATGTAAGTATTCAAAGTGCGCTTGCAAAAAAATAAAAGCAGTCCTGCAAAATCATAGAGAGCAGGATACAGTGCAGTGTTCGAAAACTTTCTTTCGAACTTATTTTTCTAGGGTTTCTATACCCTTTTGCCTCTACGTCTTTCTAGAGGTTTACTAAGAAACTGGAAGATCATTAAATTAATAATAAACCAGTTGCCAAATTCTTGACTGAACAGCTTCTTAGCTGGAAGCAAATATATAAAAAAAAAACTTTTTTAACATTCTTACATCCTTTATGCCTAATATACACTGCCTGCAGTCACATTAATTTGCTGTATCTACCGTTTTATTACTAAAAACTAAATTGTTCAAATTCTCACAGGAAAATTGTTGTTAATCTCTTACAGAAGTCAAGGTAAACGATTATTAATTCCGGTCAATTTTTATTGGTTTGGTGAAAATTGTTTTGTTTTGGATTCATTCTATTGTTTTGTGCATCTTTTTCTTAACACAGGGCTCAGTTAGTTTTGGCGAAAAAAAATTTTAGTTTTTAACTGTGACTTTTTTTTCTCAGTTTTTTTTGTTTGAAACCTGCCACATTTTGTGTAGGTTGTACACAGCATCATAATGGTTATTTATCATACAAGGGAAAAAAGTAACATTTTTCCCGTGTGTAATACATTATTTTTTTCTGTGACGGGGAAAACGATATATTGAAGTTTGAAGTTTTAAACTGCAGATAGGCTGTTGTACTTCTCGCGACAATACGAACTGCGTTGCTAAGGAAACCTTTACTCAAATATCTGTCAATTCAGTTTTGTCATTTGATTTAAACATTTCGAATTTACTAATTGTTTAGTAGTTATATTGAAGGATACAAACTTAAAATTCGTTAAGCCGCTTGTGAGCAAGAGGCGAAGAGTGGACTTTCAAATTTGTTTTTTCGTTTTAAATAGCCCTTATGGACATTTCATGCCTTCACAAGAATACAAACATGAAATTATTTTTAATTTAGTCGAATGACACACCAATACCAAGTCTGTAAATGGTGTAGTTCCGAAACCTATGTGACTCAGACCGACAGACAGACAGGCAGACATCAAGAGCGAAAAGTATACTTTTTATTTTTTTTAAGTGAAAGTGCACCCAAAATGTCTGATTCTGAATTTTCTCTGACGTCACCTGAGTTAGTAGAGGCAGTGAAAGTAGCTTCACAAAAATTGAATATCTATCTGTACTTATGTGTATATGCGAGTATATCCGGGAAAAAATTATGAAAGTCCTCGTGTGAGATCGAAGGGACTTCAGCGCATTTTTGTGTGGCAGATCAGTATTCTATTAGCCACTTTTGACTCAACCATGAATAAAAGATCTTGTCGAAGGCTACCACATACCCTTTGACGGTACCCACTTCCGACGTCCCATTCACCCGCAATTCGCGTTTGAAGATTTGACTCCACCATCAGTGAGATCGTGACGGGGGCTACCACATTCCCTTTGACGGTACCCACTTCCGACGTCCCGTTCACCCGCAATTCGCGTTTGAAGATTTGACTCCACCATCAGTGAGATCGTGTCGGGGGCTACCACATTCCCTTTGACGGTACCCCCTTCCGACGTCCCGTTCACCCGCAATTCGCGTTTGAAGATTTGACTCCACCATCAGTAAGATCGTGTCGGGGGCTACCACATTCCCTTTGACGGCACCCACTTCCGACGCCCCGTTCACCCGCAATTCGCGTTTGAAGATTTGACTCCACCATCAGTAAGATCGTGTCGGGGGCTACCACATTTCCTTTTTCGGTGCATACTTATATTACACCCACATTTTGGTGGATTTCGCTAAAAACCTTCCACAAGATATATACTTATACTTAATTTTTGGGGGGCACTTCTCATTGCTCGAGCTTCTATTGGCGACACGAGAAAGAGAGACAGCCATTCGAGATTTACGAAACGTTAAAACGCGTGACAGAATTCGCAACGGAAGGTAAAAGGTGCCCGAAGTTGACTACCTCTCGAAGACGCGCGCGCGCGCGCCTTGCAAAAGGTCGTTAATTTCGCCCCTAGGACAAAAAACAAAATTCCACCACGTAGGAGTTTTGCGCGTTTACAACATCTTTCCGACGACACCAATTTGGAAAGAATCGGACCAAAACTGTAGTAGAAGATAAGAAAAAAACTGAAAAACCTTCACGTTAGTATACTACGCTCGAGGATGACGCCCAGATGTCGCCAACCCCACATCATGTACCCCTGTCCCTAAGGTTGTAAAATTACACGGCCTTGTAGATACACGTACACCCGTTGCCTTTCTACAAGAGTTCTTCTACGCGCCCCCATTCGCTGCCAGCCAGCCAGCCAGCCAGCCAGCCAAAGTGAGATTAAAAGCTACTTTTTACAAATAAATTTGCAAAAATGCGCTAAAAAGTACTCACTTTTTTCCCCGGAAAAGAAGTAATTTCGTAAAAAGTGACATTTTGTTACCTATCAACAGAGATAAAATGTCAAATGTTTTTCCCGTCGCAGAAAAAACAATATTTTTTATCTTGAAACGTCAGTTTATAATAGTTTAAGGATGTCATTATCATCTGGTTTTTTACACGTCGGTAGTTGATTATGATCATAATTATAGTTAAACCACTCACAGTAGGTACCCCTTGATTTTACATTCTGAACATATTTATCATGACATGATCATGATGCATGACAATTGTCTCAAATCTGTCATCGAAGATCGATCTCTCAGATTTCTCTGCGAACTCAAAATGATATACCTACCATATACCTACTATTATTACATGAGCGTATCGTAAGCATACACAAATGCGATCCCTTTGACCAGTGTTGCAAGTATTTGTAAAGTATTTGTTAAATGACGTCGTCTGAGTTCGTTTTTAGACAGAACCATTCCATCCATTGACTTTTGTTACGGCGCGGCGGTTACAGTTGAAAAATCCAAAGTTTCTACCTCCGTTCATTTATAAAATGCAGATACATATTTACTGTATTAGTGGGCACTACGCGAAATAGATCTTCGGCCATTGTATGTTCAAACTGAAATATGCTCTATTACCCCATTTGGAGATTTTTAGTTTTTTACTGCTACTTAGAACCTAAAAGCCTATCTAAAATCGCTCTAGACCTTCCAAAATATAATTACCGGTAATTTGGAATTTACTTTTGACAGCTCATTTACAACAAAATATCTGATTGCGATAACTGATAATATTTAAATGTTGTATGCATAGCAAACGAGAGTTTTCACGCCTATTGGTATAAAAATGACATAATAGATTTCCTTTTCATGCACGCACATCTATATAAATACAAATACCAACGAGGAGGTCTAATCAGTATGATCCAATGGAGGATTTACCAAAACGTTAAATCGTGCATTTTTCTATGTTGTACAATGTACATACATATTTCGTTGATGAGTTTAATGTCTAAGGTTAAGAGATTGTGTAATGAAGAAGGAACAAGTACTTCGTCGCACCTATCGTTGAAATCTCTACTATACGGCGCTCGTTATATGATTTAAGTATAGCACCTAAAAGATGATTAAATGGACCACACTGACTAGTTTCAGCACCATCCTTAATCTTGAAATTATTTGGTTTATACCAAAAGGTTCAGGAGAGTTATTTTGATGATTGAAGAATACAAAATAGGGACCTATACCGAGCGTACCCAAACCGAATCAGTATTTTGCATAAAACCTTTTACCTATCGGCAATTAATACAAATGTTACATAAAGAATTCGCATTCTTGGGGTGAATTAATATAGGAAATGTATTTCTCGACCTTAAAACTAAAAGAAAAAGTAGTAGCTCAATGACTCGCGATACAGAAATAGACAAAACTTGTTTCTCCCACTTACCTGTACCGGTAGACAAGATGCCCACCTGAAACCCCAGTATTGAGTTAAGGTGCCGAAGCTTAAGAACTGCCGCGAGTGTGTGTTTTCTTTAGCATTTTGTGCGTTAAATAACAAAAGTACATGGGACTACCAGTTTAATCACTTTGTGCGAATAATAGGATTTCAATTAGCCATACATTTTCAATAATAAACGGTGAGTTATTTTGCAAAGAAATTGGAAAAACCTTTCCTTCAAGTAGTCGTAACTGACCTCAATAACTCAAAATTCTGACAACCGAGCCTTGCGTTAACAAGAAACGTTAGATTAATTATAAGGCTTGCCGATTAATAATTACTTTATACGTCAATTAGATCGCCAATTATTTTAAAACGCCAATTTGCCATGCTTATTGATTGCTTAATGCAGGTCAGTTTAACAGTTGTCAGTCTTGTCCATAAAGAGAAATTTCACCACTATTCGTCAGAATTCGTTCGATCTTCCACGATAATTTCGATCGAAATTGTATCGCCATCCCTTGGGGCAAAGACTAATTCAACGGTCAGGCCTTTAAAATACAACCCAAAGGTGTTATTTGCTTGAATGAAAGTTCTACCTGCAAATCCCAAGTTAACAAGTTTTAGTAATCCGTTTACAATTCGGTTTTCTTGTTGAAGGTAGTTTTGTACAAATTTATGAGACGGTTGAAATGAACCATGTTGCAAATCCATAATTTTGTTGAGCATCTCTGACTCATGGGGTAAACGCAATTAATTCTTGAGAGATTTTTGTTTCTAAGCTCTTTTTAATCATCAAAATTTTGAAGCACCTGGTGATAATATGCAATAAGAAAGAACAGTTCTTGAAGCGTAATAAAATTGAAAATACTGTCACGAAAAGTAGGCGTTTAAAAAACGGACATTGCTCTTCCTTGGTCTTCCGTTTTCAACGGTATTCGAAGTAAAACTTCCATATGGGGACCGGAAGGTAATTGTTTTTAAACGACAACTTCCATTTCAAATAGAAGGAATGGCGATAGAATCACGTTCCTTGAAGCTTCCTGTTTTATAAGACTTCCACGGCACTTTGCGGCTTTCGATAATATCGGCTGTCACTTTGACCTCTTTCTGTGAAACTGTTACCAGGGTCAACGTGGTGTTTTTTCGAGACAAGGAATTTCCATAAATTATTCAAAGTGGCCAGGTTAATCTTTTAACCAACCGGTTATCTAACTGATCGTACAAACGTTCTAATTTCTCGAATGTCTACACAAATTGTCAATTACATTAAAAAGTAACATTATTTTCAGGTTGTCCTTTTAAATGGTTAATTACGAACGGTAACATGTATTTTCGCTTAGCCAAGAAATTATACTTTCGCACAAAAGAATTGGGGGAATGTAGTGCGAGTAACGTAAACTTGGTTTAACTGTGTTTTGCTTAGTAAAAAATTGGACTATAATTAGAACAAATTACTACTTTTTTGTGGACTCGTGTATCCTCACGTGAAACTTATACCTATAGGTACCAATTTTCTACATCTAATCTAATTGTTCCCCGCCTTTTTTTCGCTAGGAAAATTTAGCGTCCATTGATCCTTAATATTTGCATATAATTATGTGCACAATGGATTGCAAGCTTAGCTCAATCGATCTCTCGACTTGACCATCCACTAGGCACAATGGCAGACGTCAATCGGAGAACGTTCAAAATTTCTAAAATCGTCATATAAACATTTCACTTTTCACAATAAAAATTACACCATTGGCAATGCCGTCGAAATCGGTATTTGCGATTTCTATGAAATTTACTCGGAAATTTATAACATTGCTTTCTCCAATTGTAAATGAGTAATTAATATTCTTGACAGAAAAACCGTTAATGCGAACTGCTTTCATTCGATACACATTTACAAATGTGAAAAATTTGTTTTTCAAGCTGCGTTTCGGCCCAAGAATGCGGCTAAAATGTCAACATTGGCGTGATACGATTTCTTTTGCAGTTCATTTAACTTGATTCAGGGTTTTTTACTTCTTGTATGTCTTGCAAGACATACATGCCTTATTTCTTTGAATATAAAATTTTATATTCAAAGCTTATTTTCAGTATTATAAGGTTGGCCAAAAACGATCTCAATTTTTTGTACTGCAACATAACCCTTTTCTGAATGCCAACATCTATCGGTACAAGGTACAACAATTATTACCACATTACCACCAAACAAAACAGATATTCTAAATTAGCTGTTTCAGAATGCAACAAACTTTGCCAGATTCCGTTGAGGACAATCCCGTATTGTAATAGTAATTTAAGTGATATGACCCATATGACACCATTTAGGTGTGCTATAAACAATTCTACTGAAGTGTTATATGTTGAGGTAATTACGAGAGCGTATTTTAAATAAACTGCCCTTAATTGTTTGTAAGTGCAACTCAAAAGGAACAAAATTTGAATTGGAATCCAAACAATAATTTGGAGTGTTTTCCCTTGTGTATCAACAAATGATGGTACTAGACTGATATAGTACCTAACCTTGAGTAAAACTAATCCTTTTTAGTTAAAGGTACAATGCTCCATTATAATTTTGTCTATCTTTGTCACCTATCACTTCGACAGTACGTGAGAGGGAATTATTTTAAAACTTGCGTGTAGATTTCTATTATGTTATATCCCATTATTAAAAATTAATACCCTTGCGTGATCGAAAAAAGCCATGTTTCACCTTCTGACGAGCAGGTACAAAAATCTGCAATTTCAATTTCAAAAAATTTCAAACCAGCGAATAGGCTTTTCCGGGGCTTTCCATTAGTGATGATAGCAAGACACTAGTGTGATAATAAATAAACGTGTAAACAAATATAGAAAACGAGCTCCTGAGTATGGCTATACCATGTGCATAACCAAATTTTGAAACTGGCGTTAAATTTGCTTTTATTCCAAGTGGCTATGTATCAAATTTCATTTAAATACCTTCATAAATAAGAAAGTTTTCATTTTTGCAAATGGTCGAGATGAGAAGAGGGCACTGTGAATGATGTTCGATTAGGCTCAACTTTTGGAATTGCGTTTTATATGGCTAAAGCTATGCGTATATTAAATTTAATGCGATTCGGTTCATAACTAACGGAGATGTCAAAAGGGCTTTCTTATTTTTTGGCCTACAATACCAATTCACAAATTGCGATCTACAAATTTGATAAAGAATCCACCTGCATAATTTCATCGTAATCGGTCCATTTGTTTATGAGATATCGTGGTCATGCTAACCGACGGACGGGTGGGCAGACGGACAGACAGACGAACAGACACCGCAAAATTATAAACTCGCTAGGAGCTCGTTAATAATGAGCAGAAACACGAAATTCAAAGACAACTCAGGGTTAAGGTTATTACCTAAAACAAATTTTAATGACACACGGTAAATAAAAATTCCCACTACAAATAAAAATTGTGTAAACGAAGACTCCGCGTATTAATTCATCAGATGTTCATCTCGATGTTCATGTTAGCTTTGCATTTTAGAAAAGATATTTGCTCGGATATTTTGATCCAAAGACTACGCATTAAGGCTACGACAGATACGGCGGTAATGCCGATACGGCGGTAATGCCGTGTCTGAACGCAGCCTAATTAATAACTAATGGAATATAATTAATGTTTCTCAACTTCCTCGTAATTGCACACGAAAATTGTACTGACTGGCTTATGGTTAACGTTTTCTTATAATCTTAAACAAGTTCGCAATACATATTTTAGTTAGGTAATTGTTTAATTTAAGTAGAGTTGACACATTAAGTTTAAAACGGCAGACCCTGTTAGACAAATTTTAATTTAACTTAAATTTACAAGCCAGATTAAACCACAAACTAAGTAAAAAATGGCAAATGGCGTACATTTTGTTGAAATAACGTTTATATTTCTTCATAAAACCTTTCCCGTAAACGATCTTCATAATTTTTTCCCCAATACAATGCAGGGTCCCCTGATGCTCTGCAACAACACAACAGCAATAAGTTAGTGTCTCAGTAATTCCTTCCATTGTCTTTCGATCTTGTGGATACGTATTAACATGTTACATCATGGAAAAGAGACAAAAAATTCTATAAAATGAGGGTAATGAAAGGGTGCATTCCTATTTAAAAAAATTTAATTGTCGTTCGTTACTCATTTGTTTTCTGAAATCAAAATAACTGAATGCTGCCTTATTATGAGAAATAAAATGGTAAACAACTTTTGTATAGAAAATATTGTATGCAGTCGATGTTTACGGAGATATATACTATATTCCATACATCATGGGACCTGTATAGTGTATATACAACAGCTGACTCATTCGTAAGATTAGTCTGTAAGCTCATCCGCCATTTTGGAGCCTATTGACAATGAAAGCTTGCAAAACATTGCATGTCCTGCATGTATTGTCTATAATCTATATCATTTATCTACAAAAATCGAGACAAAAATGCATCAAATTCATGAGTATTGAAATAATACTTTTGGTCTTCTTCTCAAGGGTCTTCAAACAACGGCAAAAATGCAAATTCATGTCTTGAACATTGAAATAATGCATCTTTGAATCAATCATACACGGTTATCAAATGGGCATGTGATACAGTCTCTCGGCATCAATATAATGCGATTAATGGATTTGAAAGCTCCAAATTCATGTGAAAAGAATAATTTTGAGTACATTTTACTCTAAAACTGTTGCCTTAGACGACAGAAAGGAGTTATGTTGAATTGTTACACATCTAAGAGTCATAGGGTATAATTTAGCGAAAGTCCGAACCCGATACATGACTTAGGGTGAAATAGTTGATTTCTACTATATTGAACCCACAGTTTTTCCTGTTCCCGATTCTCTCGAAGTCATAACTTTTGTTCCTGTTAGCCAGCTTCCTGAAAATTAATAGCGTCCTACCATAATTTCCCAAGTAGATACCCGCAAATCAAATCGGACGGACTATACAAAACTATAAATGCTCTGAGGATCCTTTATAAAAGCACGAGGCGAATGCTGGAGCAGTACCCTTCTCCCTCAGCACCCTCCCTCCGTTCCATCCGTTCCCAACCAACATATGCCTCTCACATCGGGCTACCACAGTTGCTTCCCGGAGGAGATACTTTAATTTGTTGGTTCGCATTTCCAAATTGCGAAATATATTCAAATGTTGGTTACGTATGCTGCAGAATTTACCTATACGGCGATCATTA